AAAAAGTTAACTTTTTAACTTTTTAACTTTTAACTTTTAATTTTTTTACATAAAAAATTATAAAAAAAAAATTAAAAAATTAATTTTTTATCAACTTTTCAGAACACCACCTACTATCTTATCACCACATAATCAAAGTCTTTGCCCCAACACCTGTACTCGCCGCACTATACTACAAGCATAAAGAATGAAAGATTTTTTTTAATAATAATAAATTTTAAATCCCTATTTCTTTTACGTGTTAAATATTTGAATAAATTCACCATGTAAATTTCAATATACATCAAACCACTTTTTAAATTAATAAAATTAAAATTTTAATTTTTAATGCACTTTCGCACAAATACCTATACACTCTGAAGTGATTAGCTAACGCTTCAGGTATTGGTAACTTTTTTGAGTACTGAGATGAGAGAGTGTATTTGGACAAATGGGGGAGTTTGTTAGTTAGTTGACCAATATTTTAAAGCATGTGAACTTCACAAATTAATTTTTTTTAATTATTTATAAATTATTCAATCCCTAACCCATTCACTCCAGTCTTCATCTCCTCCAGTGGTGATGCCTAACATAATATTTTTTTTTTTGTCAAGTCCATTAGTCCTAAGGAAGAATGGGAGAGCCCCTCTCTCTAGGTGACTTTTGGAGACATTTCGATAACTTTTCGGCAATTATTTTTCTTCTTTCAAAATGTAGATCAACCTTCTAGAATATAGATTTACTATTTTTGAATGTAAATCTGGACTTTTGATGTTTGAAATAGGAGTTTTGAGCCTCCGTTTGGGAAGTGGGTTGGCTTTTTGACTTTTTGGCTTTTTTGGCTATTTTAGCCTGGGCTAAAAAGCTTGGTTTGGGAAGGGCTTTTTAGCTTTTTGACTTTTTTGACTTTTTTTGTGAGAGAAAAATGTAATGATTATAGGTTGGATGTGATGTTTTGTTTGTTATGGCTAAAATAGCCTATTTTGTTTTTTGTGGCTAAAATAGCCAAAAAAGCCTGAAAAAGCCCTTGCCAAACACAGGCTGAGAGTTTTCTCTTCTGATTTTGACATAAATTTTTGATATTTCGACACTCACAATGATTCCCTTCTCTCTACACCCTTCTCTCATACCATTGTAGGTGTCCTCCCTTCTTCGACGACAATAGCGGTGGCGTTGGGCAGCAACGATAGGGACGTTGTCGACAAGAACAATGGGCTTTCTTGCAGACCACATCTTTGAAAAGATCGATGTTTTTCCTTGGATTGTAACTATTTTTTTGACGGATTTATTTTGTTGTTGTTGTTGTTGTTTGTTGTTGTTTATTTTCTTTTGTTGTTGGGTTGGAATGACCCTTTGGATCTTTTTTCTGTACTCTAATGCTTTATCAATATATTATTCCCATGTCCTAAAAAAAACGTAATATTTTTTTGATTTTTGGGTGCTAAAATAAAATGATATAAATTTTTATGGAGCAAAACTGCTAATGTCTATTCTAAGTACTCCAAATTAGCACGGGAGAGTTAAAAAAAATAAAAATTAAAAATTAAAAAAAAATTAGCATGGGCCAAATGAGATTTTTGTGAAATTTGGGAGCCCAAGGTAAAACAATATGAATTTTCAAGGAGCTAAGGTTAAATTATATAGATTTTTAAAGGGCTAAAGTAAAACCATATAAATTGTGCAAGTGCTAAAATGTTATATTTTAGGATAAATTACAAATATATTTCTTGAGATTTACTTAAAATACGAATTATCTCATGTGATTTGAAAAATTACAAATACCTTCCTGTCAAAAATTTTTATTTAACAGAATTAATTAAAAAAAATAAAATTTCTAATTATTCACCCATATAATAACAAAACTATTTGAATTATTAATTAAAATAAAATTTTAATATCATTAAAAACTGTTAATTAACTTGATGATTTATTAATAAAAAGACATATTTATTATGAAATTAAAAACCTTCGCAGACATAAAATAATTTATAATTTAAATAAATCTTAAAAGATTTGTTTGTAATTTATCTTATGTTTTATCAAATAACTGTTAAACTAGTATGGTCTAAATTGTACTTTTGCGAAGATTGGGGAGGCGGCCGATACAAACCCCAGTTTGTCCGCTAATGATCTACTTTGTCACTGACCATCACCTTCCTCCTTTGTCGCTGACCATCACCTCCGATTGCCACTGTCGCCCCATTTTGCACTCTCAGCCTCCGTTTGGGAAGTGGGTTGGCTTTTTGGCTTTTTGATTTTTTTAGCTATTTTAGCCTGGGCTAAAAAGTTTGGTTTGGGAAGGACTTTTTGGCTTTTTGGCTTTTTTGGCTTTTTTTGTGAGAGAAGAATGTAATGATTATGGGTTGGATGTGATATTTTGTTTTTTGTGGCTAAAATAGCCAGGATGGAAAAGAAGGTAATTGGCAGCTGGATTGAGAGGAGAGGAGAGGAATGGGGAGAGAGGTCAGGGGAGGGAATGACTATGAGATAAGAAGAGAGCCAAGAATAGTAAGAGGTGGTTGAGATATGATACGCTTGGATTTTTTTATTTGTTTTTATGTAATTTTATCCTTAACAATTTTCTAAAAATAGAACAAAAATAACACTGCTTATAAAAAAATAAATATTATAATAATTACATTTATATATTATGAATTATTCACATCTAATGTGTGATGATTGTATTTATTTAAAGAATTCACTATCATAAAATCACTAATGATACACAAATATGATAATTTATAACATTATTACTCACAAATATATCTAATCTCTAGAAAGAGAAAGAGGGGGAGGAGAGAGAAACGTTGGCCATATACCATTCAACCCAAGCATGATCATTTCAAGGCAACACATGACCCAATCTCTTACACTCCATCAATGACTTTTGTTTCCCACCCTGACAAAAGAAGAACCTTAACGGACACCGGTACAAACAATTGTCCCCCAACCGAACCGTAACCGAACCCGGATCCCTCATCTTGAGCAGCTGAACCGGTATGGCTCCGAATAAGTAATTCCCACCCAACAACAGCCGCTCCAACTGCGAAACCCCCTGACCCGGTAGCACCGCCTTCAGGGTCAACTGGGTTGGTATCACATCCGAGAACCGGTTGTTCTCTAGCGATAGAGCGGATAGTTTCCGCATCCGACCCATGAACGGCGGTATGAACCCGCGGATCATGTTGCTGCTCAGGTCCACTGCTATGAGCTCGCTTTCTTGACTCGAATCCCCGGGTTCTTGAACCGACTCGAAATCGTTGTACGAAAGGGTGAGTTGTTGGAGAGACGGGTGGGTAAAAAGACCCGACGGGATCGACCCTGTTATATTGTTGTGGCTCAGATCAATTACTTGTAAATAGAACAAGTTCGATATATTCGCCGGAATATTCCCTTTTAACTGGTTGTTTCGCATGGAGAGTTCGACGAGAGAGGTCGGAAGATTCGCTGGAAGTTCGCCGGAGATGGAATTGTCGCTTGCGTCTAAGAAGGAGAGGTTAGTGAGTTGACTCAGATCGGGAAACTGGCCTCTGAGTCTGTTGCCTTGGAGTTCGAGCCTTTTTAAATTCTTAAGACCGTTGATACTCAACGGGATTGTTCCCTGGAAGTAGTTGTTGTCCAGGTAAAGCTCTTCGAGGGTAGAGAGAGAGCCGATTGAGTTTGGTACTGAGCCAGAGAGGGAGTTACGTGATAGACTGAGTCTTTGGAGCCGAGTCAGGTTCGAGAGCGAGTCAGGAATTGAACCCGCAAAGAAATTGTTGGAGAGGTCAAGGGTGTGGAGGTAGGGGAGGAGGTTCCAGGAGGTGGAAGCGAGTGAACCCACGTAACCCGCCTGGTCGAGAGCGAGTTCGGTGACTCGACTCATCGTTGAAATAACGAGGTCGCATCGAAACCCACATGTGAATTTGTCGCTGAAGAGGTTGTCGCATGGATCGAGAGTGAAGTCCCATGAGCTCAGACACGAACCGGGCCTGACTGAGTTAGGATCGAGTCCGTTCTTGAACTCTCTCAATGCCTCCGTGTCTTGCCAAAAAGTGATGGAATTGGCTTCGAAGAAGGAGTCTGTAACAGTGATTAAGAGAATGAGAGAGAAACAGAGAGTAGTACCCATTTGTCAAGTTTGCT